ATTTCTTCCTATCCTAACCGTTCCATTCGCGTTGCCTTTAAACCGATTTACTCGTAATTCGGGAAACGTGCGATTAATTATACAAATGCTCACTCTCGTGTTACTTATTCTTTTATTGTAACAAACGATGGAACCGAAGATGAAATCGAAACACACACACACACACACACACATATATATATATATATATATATATATATATATATATATATGCGAAGATCTAAGCCTAATTAATATATCTCTCAAGGAGTAACAGTACAAGTGCTAATGCAACGCCGCAGAGGTAGATAATTAACACAGATGCGATGCTGTAAAATCCAACCGGTTGAAATATGGTGTCCTCCACGTAAGTTACTTCGCTCTTGTACCGGTTCAGTAGACCACTGTTCAAAATTTTCTGTATGCTGCAACATAACGCGACGACTAGGTTAACAAGGACGAGAAGCGGAGGACAGCGATATAGACGGATAAAGATATCCGTTCTTCTTTACACGGACATCGTCGATGTATGAACAGACACTAACTAGTAACTCAGAATCGGCGTGAACTGGTTATTCTTCGAAAGGATCAGAGACAAACTGTCCACTCGGCCAAAATCGACAACCGAGACTTTGCACGGAATGTGGATGCTCATTATTTGCTGCACTTTCTTATTATAACCGCTGTAGAACGCTAACTTGGGATTGTCGCATATCTGTGAACAAGCCAGGTAGCTGTAGAAATTCTACTCGAGACGTAGTAATCGGAACATGTGCGTAACTTACTCGTTTAAATCCATTTTCTATATTGTGCGGTAACTTGTCCATCGGTAACATCAACTTCATGAACTTCGTCAACACTGGGTCCTTCGTTTGCTAAAAATTCAATTATTCGTAGCTACGCGCAAGGCGTGGTTAAAAATCGTTTGCCTCTATGAAAGTATGGCTCGTACTTTGCAAATGCCATTCGTTATTCGTTCGACAAATGCTACTTTTTCGTTACGTTACGTTATTTCAATTGTTCGTGCCACGTCTCGTGACAAAAGGGAAAGCATACCGTGAATCCTCTATTACCGGTCAAACTTACGGAAAACATGTCGTACTCCGCGGAACCTCTCTGTACCATTACACCGTATGTACCATCCTCGATGAATTCCTCGAGCGAGTGAAAAGGTACATAGGGAACGCGGGCTGTCATGAAAGATATCAAGGAGGCAGAATAGGCGGTGTATATCACTATAGCGGTGACAAGCACAGTAAAGTATGCTACCCTCAAAGACGAATTCTGTGGAAATTCTGAGAAGAGAATGCCCATTAGATACCATTGGATAAATTCCGGTTAAAGGTAGCAAATCTGTCGGTCGTCACCTGTCGTGACTCCTTGCTGACAGAAAATACCCCAGATTCGAATGAATTCGTTAAAGAACTGTCGCCTTATGCTACAGGATTCTGTACGAGATCTTATGAAAGCCATAACAAACTGGGTAGTTACTATCGTCACGATGAGACACATCCAGAGCGTGAAATTGTAAGCCTAAAAACGAGACACCTGCACAGATAAATATGCGATTTTGCATGCAAGTATGTACGTACCTTGTAATAAGCGAACCACTTCACTGCGAACATTTCTGGTTGCTTTATGAACAAATAGTTTCTAGTAGTAAAAATAGGAACCGTGAAATCAGCGTAATCGAGTCTAGTATTGGTCATCGAAAAATCGGATATTCCAATATCCACTTCCCCGGAAGCTACATATCGAAATGCCCCGTTCCAAGTTCTCGTCGTCCTATTGAAGATTCCGAACTCGGTCTCTTGGGCTACCAGATTGAAAGTGAAATTCAAAGTATCCGCAAGCTCGTCGATCGCTTTGCTAAAATATCCCTCCCATCGGTTATTTTTTAGCTTCACTAATAACGACTTCTGTAGAGAGAGGTAAATAACGTGTATCGAAGGTTGGATAATTCCATCTTAATCGCTATGCAAATCTAAGTTCTTACCTTGACAGCGACAGCACGAAAAACTTTTCCTTCTAGATTCTTCCTCCTGTCGTACAGACTCAAGTTGCTCAATAAGTCGACTATGGGCTTCGACGATTCAAATGGTTGCCTTTCGGGGTGCCATTTCACCAAATTAGAAATTTTCGTAGTCTTGCCATCCACCGAGTACCACTCCCGAAGAATAGGATCACCGTAACACATTACTAGCATTTCGGTATCGTACAGCAAATTAAATGCATTTCCAGGTGGATTGTGACAGTAGTCGTACTGCTTGTTCGCCGTGTAGAATATCACGAACCATGCGAATAAAGACATTTTCATGGTCTTCGTGTGTTCCGAAAATTTCCAAAATCCATCAGACTCGGATATAAAAACGATGATCAACGGACGAAGAATATTATTCTTCGTGAATAAATGAAGATTTTCGCACGTGCTACTCAAAGTTGAAATTTGTTCCCGTTGAAGGAGATGAGTCCACGAGTATAACAAATATGTTATCTCAAAATCTGAATAACACGAGAAAGCGTGAATAACGTGAAAATTGTTGCGCGTGCCTTTTCTTATTGGATGCGAATGAATTTCCGAAAATCCTACCATTGAAGTGTTTATCCTCGTTCATTTTGAATACTAAGAAAACAGCAGAAGTCGTGTAATAGTTGCGAACCCATTTGATCAAAGAAACGTACTGTAATATCTCATCGCTCACTGCAGCCCCCATTAAATGAAAATGAAAGGGAATAAAATACAAATATATCGTAAATTTCATTTCGTACGAATTTATCGTGCCTTTTCTTCGTCGTGCAAGAACATCGCGACTTACGGAATGTCTCACGAAAGACTACGAGCAACGTTAATAACTGAATTCCCGTAAGTAGAAGCAAGTACTTTTATCCAAGGACAAACATTAAATATTTAGTAAACATTCGTGCGAACTTTTGATGTGAAAATGGCTATCTAAAATGCGATACTAATCTATTACTAAATAGAATGTAACAATATTATCGACATCACGGGGACAATAAGCAACAAGACATGACGGACAAAATGCGTACAAGATATGACTCATATTCATATTAAGTCAATTGGAAAATAGAAACTTGTCATATTAGTCTTGTACTCGATAATTTTCAAAAATTGAATTACAGAGTGAAGAATAAAATTGATAAAAATTTACGAAAATATTGATCGAATATTTATAAAAAAAGAAAATTATTTATTTAGTTTATACAAAAATTGTTGACTCTGTACTTGGATGCATTCGAGTCTTAGATATTTATCGTATATGAAGTTCATTGCAGTTTGTCATAACGTTAGGCTAATAATACATATCGAACTACATTCCATTAGGAAATTACGTCTTAATAATTAACTAGTTTTTTACTTTCTTTTTGCAAGCGATTACTTGTAAACAAAGCATGTACACACTATCGTGTATGTACATAATTTATATAATTGTTGGAATTATTATATATATTTCAAATTATCTTTTATCACATTTTCGTTAATTTATGGAAATAAAATAACGTGAAAAATAGAACGGCTAAAATAATTTATATCGATAAAACATCATCCTAGATATTACTATATCTGTTAACTTTACAACGTAGTATAATTAGTGTGATTTTTATTTGTAGCTGAATAAATAAATTAATAAAATGAATAAATTGAATAAACTAAAAATAAAGGAAGTATCAAAGAACTTGGAATCAACTAATGTACCATTGAACGAATGATGACCTAAACTTAACCATATATCATGAATCATCGTTTCTACGCATGTACATGATTGTCAAATTTTGCATTTCATGCAAAAATGGCGCCGTTTCATTGCAGATGAAAAGTCACTACTAATTCGAAAAGAAAAGTATTAGAAATATAAATTAATATTTTGCTTGCCTAATGATGTAATGAAACTCAAGAATGAGCATAAATATTCACATTATATAATTAAAATGTAATTATAAGAACGTCGAGTAGAAGAATGAAATGCGGAGAGCGCCATTTTGTGAAATCGATTGCACTATACAGAATATGTTTGATAGGTGTGTGTATTGCTACATATATAAGCACCGTAATAGAATCATCTGGGCATCCGACGCAGTAGTTAGCAAGAAAAGTTACGTGAAGTGTTAAAAGTATAACTTTTAATGGATTTATATGAATATTCATATTTTATTTGCAGTGGTGTAATTTAAACGTAACTACAATGCTGTTTAAAGTGTATTTGCAAAATAGTGACTCTACCATTAAAGCAATTCGGCAGTTTACGATAGACTCTCCAAAACAAGTGAAGAAGAAAATCAGGAAAATGTTTCTTGAATTATCTTCCTATGATGATTTTACGATTTCATGGAAAGGTAATAATTATGCATAAAAGTAATTCTTTTTATCCTTTAAAAACTTTAAAATATTGTAGACACTAGCGATGATTTAATTGTTGCATCAACTGAGGAAGAATTGCAATATGCTTTTAATGGAACGAAAGGAGCATTATATATTAAAGTAGTATCATCCAAAAAAAAAGCAGGTCATCACAATGAAGACACAATTCATCCTGGTATAAAGTGTGATAATTGTGACGATGACATATTTGGATTTAGATACAAATGTCTTCAATGCGATGATTTTGATCTATGTGCACGATGTGAGGCACGAGGTAAACATTGGCAGCATTATATGATTCGTATATCACAACCTGCAAAGAAGCCTTACACTTGCGCTTTTAACGAATATTTGAGTGAAATTCTCAAAAACAATGATGTATATTACAATAAGAAAATTGCTCCAAATGAATGTACATCTCGAGAAATTCATTGTGCAATTTCTCCATGGTCTGCAGAAATTTCTTCAGAAATTTATAAGTCATTTCTTAACAATATTATAGATGCATGGATGAAAGAACACATTGATCCATATTTTCCTAAGGTAATATTAAAATAAAAGAGTAAGAATACAAAAACTTTGTTCAAAGCTTATCAAATTAATAAACACAATATAGATATTGTTATTAACATTAATTCTGATCATTTATATGTTTCTCATCTTTGCCAGACTGAAAAAGGAGGAAATATGTCTGAAGAGGAAAAACCCATTGATAATCCCGAAAATGATAAAGAATCAGTATCAGACAATGCATCAAATACTACTCAAGATGAATCTGTTACAAAGGCTGTAACAGATGAATGGACCATCATAGATAAAAATGATACTGCTGAAGTTACCCAAGTTTGTTCAATATCATCTAATACAAATGAAGCTGCTGAAGTTAACCGAGCTTGTTCAACACCATCTAATGTAGATGAAACTGCTAACCAAGCTTGGTCAACACCATCTAATGTAGATGAAACTGCTAGCCATGCTTGTTCAACGTCATCTGACATTGATAAAACTGTAGAAAAAAAGGTAAAACATAAAATAATTTAAACTAATATAAGATAGAAAAATTTTAAGTTTCTAAAAATTTTTATAATTATATGTTATTTTTGTAAGGTTCCCCCCTCTTCGTGGACTCCAACGACCCCAGAAAAAAGTTCTTCATCTGAATCACTTTATCCTCAATTGCCAAAAGAAGAAAAAGTAATACATCATCCAAATCCAGTAATCAACGACGTTGTTGAAGCTATGATAAAAATGGGTTTTTCAAATCAAGGTGGATTATTATCATATTTATTGGAAGATGAAAATGGTGATATTGATAAGGTCATAGAGATACTACAGCCTAAAAGTGGGTAAACATTAATATTAAAATTTAATATAATTTTTTGTCATATTTATAAATAGTTTATATATCGTTGGCAGTTTCTTTCATAAATAGACATAAAAGAGCATTAAAATGTTGTAGTATTATGTAATGCATGCTAATATAAATATTACATTCCTTTTCACTTAATAAATATACTATTTGTATTAATGTTCACAGGCATAATTCTAATGTAAAGTGAATTTTTATTGTAATCAATTCTAGCAATGCAGGAAATCTTAAATTGAAATGTTAATAATTAAATGACGATAATAAATAAAATAAAAAAACAATATGGATTAATTAATGAATTTATTCCTAATCACGTATATTTTTACATAAAGTAACCATTTTATATTGATCTACAAAATCTCCAAATCTCAACTGGATTTTTGTTGGTTAATAATTCGATTTCTTTTTCTGCCCCAGGACTAATATCTCTGATCCAATTTCGATTTGTATAATATTGTAATATAACTTTAAATTCGTCTCTCGAATATTTTTCCACGCAAATTGGTACAAAGGGATCTAAAAGCTCAAATCCTTTTTTACCAAGTAAATAAATCGGATCATCAGAATCTCTTCTATCCTATAAGTAAAAAGTACAAAAAATTTATCAAAATTTGTGACAATAATTTTGTAACATAGTGATGTAATATAATTTATATTACTTTAGTTGCTCTCTTATCCACTGTTAATATTGCAGCACCATTACACCAGTTGTAATTGACGCAATTGTAAAATGCTGATGTTATTGATATTTTGTCAGGTGGTACATCCTTTTCATTTTCATTACATACCCGTGTACAATTAGAAAGAAATGCATTAAAACCATCTATAACAACTAATGTTCTACATTTCCCTGCTATACTAGCTGTCTTAAGTTCCTCTACCAAAGCATTAATGACACCACAAGAAAATTTCTTTCTGTCTATTCCAAATTCAATAAGATTAGAGAGTGAATCTCCAGATTTGATGATTTCTCTTTGAGACCATATGTATTCCTTAGAAGTCTTCAGCTATAGATTAATTGTTTTATTTATATAAAACAATTACATATAATACATCACAATAAGATATATCTAATTTATTACTTACATCATACTGATCTAATGTTAATTTGTTCAATGTTTTAAAATACTTTAACCACATTTCTCCATCAATAGGTAGATCCAGTTTATCCTTTTCCAAAGGAGATTGTGAAACTTCTTTTGGGTATCGAAACCAAGTACAAACTAGAAACATAAAATAAAATTATATGATACACGTATCACACGAATAACTTAGTTCTTGATATAATTAGTACAATACCCCATGGCAAATGTAATACAATAAAACGTTTCACAAGACCATAATGAATTAAATGTACTAATGTTGTTGTTTTCCCTA